AAAACTCTAATTCTATGAGTGATGAAGCTACCAAGACTGAACACTAGAAATCTTAAATGACCTGTTTACTTATCTTTTATTGCCTTTTGATTTTATGTCTTATACTTTTGTTAAATAAAAAATGAGGTGTGGTCAAGCATTACTACAAATTCAATCAAGCGCAAGAAAACTATCATTTACCTAAAAGGACATAATTATTTATTTTTAAGACCATTTTGAAATGTTTAACAATCGTCTTAGAACAACTGATGTCTAATAAGATGTAAAGTAATCTCAAACAGCTAAAAACTTTCAGCTTATGTAAGTGTGTCGTAGTGCTTTCCGCTTTCTTAACCTTACCAAAACAAAATAATAAAATCTATTTTGTAAGGGCATGAGTCAGCAAAGGAAAGAGACAAGAGCTAGTATGAACAAGTAAATAAAAGGTAGACAGTAACCTATGGCAAAGATTTACGTTGGTGTCAGTGTAATAGTACTTTTCAATTTTCTTGAAATCCCACTTTTCTCCAAACACTAAAAAGCTCCAGATGTTCAGATAAACGTCGATTCACACTCGCTTTTATGAGGCCATTCTTGATTGGTATTGGCTAAAATTACAAAGTGTGTAGGTTACGAAAGTCGTAAATCTTCTGTACAGCTGCTTGCGCCAACGCCCAAAGGTGCTCGTATTTTTATCGTTCGAAAAATTCGGGAACGCATTGTCGATAGGCAATTTCGAAACATTTAGTGCATCGGGGTTTTTGGTGAGAAAAAACTCATCCCGACAGTTGGTGCGTCTAGTTGTTGAAAAAAAGTGACAAGATTGTTTTACAAAATCTCAGCTTCTCAATGGGGCACATGACTGCAAATGACAAAAGATCGATGATGTGAGAAAATGCAAGACAAATTGCAGGTTTGATTTTAAAAAGCAAGAGAAGACTTGCTGTAGTTTAGGATGATTTGAGTTTTTAAATGTAAAGAGAAAAATCTAGCACATTTGAAAACATAAGTCTGTTCAGTTGAAATCTGAATAAGATGAGCAACTACGAGGCGTGAATTACAATAAACGTTATTCAACATTTTTCACTTCTTTGCGCAGATAGGTTTAGAAATAGCGGGTTGGTCAGTTTATAAGAAATAACTTTATCTAGGATTATAGCGACAACAAGTAATCATAAGGACTTTATGCAATAAATGTGCGTCTTTTGATTTAACCTCTGATGTCCGTATTTT